CAGTTCATTATGAATGCGACTTTTGTATATATTTGTACAAACGAATAGCATACTACGTTAAATTAGTTGACTCCAGAGGTAATGCTCGATCCAAAAACCACATGAACTGAAAATATAGTTGCATGGCATCCTTCTTGCTTACATACACTACTCTGGCAGTCCCGAATTTCCCGGAAAGAACAGCAATATTCCCAACCTTTATGAGGTTTCAACTTCTTTTTTACCACGACGTTCGAGGAACCTACCTAGCATTAAATATTCACTTTGAGTTGACAACCTCGTTAAAAAGAACTTCATGCCGTACGCTAGCCACCTGGCAAAAGAGCTTCCGCCCGTCTCGTCACTGCCCGCTTTAGTCAGTGGAGCACGAGAGAAATCTTCCCACGCGTGGAAAATTCAAAACGTATCGTGTCCGCATCAAAAACCACAATACTGTTGTAAATCAAACAACTAGCAAAAAATAGCATTGTCCAGTTTCAGTATCTTGCAATTTTTTTTTTCTGGATATTCAGAATCTCATCCTGACTCACAACCGTACTATGATATTATAGATTTAATGTCATATTGTAGTTTAATATGTAGAATCCCAAACATATGTTAAATAAAATCAAGCCAAGTAATAAGAAAAAGTGTGCTAATATTGAAATAGTTGTACAAATTAGAGGTTAACCTGTTCTGATTGATATGGAAGTCTAAAGGTCTTGCAAGTAATATTTATATTAATTATACATTTCATATATTCCACGGTTCTGATAGTTCACTTTACAAAGCATAATTGAAAACCTGGTGTTTTTAATGAAAAATAACATGAAAAAAACATACAGTTAATAATACCATCTAAAAGAAACAATATCTACTACAACAAAGTTTTTCTTTTAAATTGTTCATTCTTTTATGAATGACCACGATAAACTTGCATTACGAACGCGCCGAGTAGTTTGGTAACTACCTGCATTCATCCCCACATAATATCACAAGTTTTAATTTTGTGTTAAGATTTATGAGTCTACGTTTCTTTTTAGTACGTTAAATAGTTGTAAAATTTTTCATTTGCTTTTACAATTAGATTGTCAGCATCAATTCATGAAGTGAAAATGTTCAATCTAATAAGTTGGTGATTTTGTGAGAAGAGCGTGTGCAATTATACATTGTAATTCTAAGCAAAAATGTTTCTTGGTGAGTGCAAATCATGTTACATGTTCCACAGATATTTCCAGCTCACAACTCTTCTGCACCTGAATATTAAGGTGTAGGATTTCCATCTAGCCTTTTCTTTATTCGCACAAAAAGATTCCGAAAATACCTTAATAGCTAACGTCAGAACACAATAATTTAACACGTAATACATAAAAATACAAACAGTGAGTTGGGATAAGATCAGGAAGTACAAGATAGAGGATGTGAAAGAAACCAGAAACTTGATCAAAAATCAAATATGCCTATGAAGAAACAGTTTTTTAAGAAGGTAATTTCGCTTGAATTACCGCTGTTTTCAAACTAGATCCACTTTATTAGGTTTTCCAATACTTGTAACCTTCACTATTGTGTTTCAGCAATAATCAAATTGTTTAGAAACTCAAACACTAGTAATAACTGTTTTTGTTTCTGAATTATTCCTCTAGTTTTTAAGCTTGAACAAAAAACGAATAAAACAAGGAAAACTCGGTTGCATTTCATTGTTTAATTCCAAACATACAGTACGCCGTAAATCTACCAGGAAACTAATTACGTCAAAATACATCTACACTTTTGGTTAAATACAAACTCTCTTAGCAGCTTCATTTTATTTTCTTTCGATGTCGCATTAAGCGACAAAGCTCCCTTAAAAGCTGTTGACCATTTCACACATTCATCATAGATTCTACGAATGTAATATTTAGTCAAACAAGAATTCAAATGAAAATACAAAATAAAATGCCCGAAAGTAACATTGCATTCGTAAAAAATCACAAAACGTAATTGTATCTCTCCTACTGAAGAGGGAGATGAAAGTGCAAAGGCGCAACTACGAGAGAAAAATGACGATAGCCATTTAATTTAAGAAGTATTTGCAGGTGTGGATATTACACACATGTGATAATAATAATAATAATAATAATAATAATAATAATAATAATAATAATAATAATAATAATAATAATAATAATGATGATGATGATGATGATGATGATGATGATGATGAAAGGAAACGAAAACGTAATTTAAGTATTGCTTGTATTCACCACCAGGAGGTCATTGGACAGTGTACCACACACGATTGAATTTTGAAGACCCTGGAGATCTGTTGTTTTCATCCTAAACTTATTGAGGTTTGCAAGGCTCAAGGAAAGTCGGGGAGTACTAGGTTACTAATACAGAGAAGAAAGGAAGTATTATAAACAAGAAGTATTCATATTAACAGGGGATGTTTGCAATGAGATTCGCTGTCCCCCTCTGCTGTTTCGCTTTAGTTTGATCCTAATGAGAAGACAGTTGTCGCAAGTTGGATTTGTTCACAAAGCTTGGTGTACAAAACATGGCGATGAAAGACCAGTGTCACACTTGCTTTACATGGATGATCTTAAAGTGTTTGTTCAAAATGACGCTATTCTCTCCAAAATGCTGTCCAATGCCGCATGTCGTACACCAATGCTATCCCAAAAGATAATAAATACCGCATTTGCCAGGAACAAGTACAAACCATTGATCATATCGGCTCAGCTTGTCCTATTCTAGCAAAGACTGAATACTTGAAAAGACACGACAGAGTGTGTAGTTCTCTTCACTGGCAGAAATGAACCACCCTTGAAGTTCCAAACATATGCGCGCAGAACACTCACCACCGGTGATGTCTGCTGGACTGTGTACACGATTTTTAGGACCAACTAATTCAAACTAATCGCACGATAGCGGCAAACAAACCGAATATTGTTATCCAGGATTTGGAGAATAAATCGTATTTACATGCAGATGTGGCTGTGCCATGCGATCAAAAGCGTCGTAACCAATGAGACAGAGAAAAGTCTTCAATTCAAGAATGTGTGAAATGATCACGGCCGAATGTGGGGCACAGGCTATCCCGACAGTCATCGGAGCTCTGTGATTTGTTCCGCACAATTTGTGTAAGAACGTGGGTAAATACCCAAATCATTCACAAGACTATGGGATATGCAAGACATTGCTTTGTTTGGAACAGCCCAAATTTTGCGCAAAGTGGCAAAGTGGTAGAGGCACGGATAGTCCCTAGACCTGCTCTAGAAGAAGCTTGAACCCGGAGTAGACTTTATTTAACTATTATCTACTATTATCTGAAGTCGTGAATTATGGGAATAATAATAAATTATAATAGCAATAATAACATAAGCTGAACCTGTGCAATTACATCATAAAAAAGAAGACCAGTAGTGTGGAAAAATAAAACCGAAACGTTCTCTGCCCGATATGAAACACCGTAAACTTCAAAAATATGGTTTCAGGACATCCAGTAATTATTTTTCTTCACCAAAAAAGTGAGAGGTTTACAAATTCTGGATCAATATACAGTCGACACCGAATACAGTGAACTTCTCGGACTAACAGTTTGGTGCACTATATCAGAGGTTAACTATGTCCGATGATGTCAAAATTAAATGTAATTTTTCCACAATGACTGATATTGAGATACAGCAAAATTCATTAAAAGCACTAACTAAAAATTGCAATATCTTTATTTGTTCCTAAAGTCAATTACTTCCAATTTTTTGCATCGAACTTTTTTCATTCGTAATTCTCTAGATCGTTCTCCAGAGTTCGTGCTCTCTCCATACTTTATTCTGCATTGTCCTCTGGCTCTAGGTATAGAAATTAGGTCTTGACACATTTCAATGTCTCATGCACTGTTGGAAAATCTCTCCTCTCTCCGAAGGCCCTTCAACTCGCCTAATAACGTACTAGATCCAATTAATTTACACGACTTATTTTCTACCTTCAAGAGGTTCAGGTTTACTATAACAGAAGCTTCTTATGCTTATTTGTAATGTATGTGAAGCGGGACCAGTGACTTAAGTTCACTGTAACTGAGGTTAACTATATTCGAGTTCACTATAACCGACATATTTACCAAAAACAAATCACTAAATTGGGGAGGACAGTATTTATTTGCTAACGAACGCTGGAACTGAGGAACTGTAGCAACAGTGCGAACTGAGGAAAACAGCAAACAGACCGAAGTAAATAAATGGAGAAAGGAGATCTTGGAGTGACAATTATTTAGACGCACATTAGGTTTTAAAATTAAATTTACAAAGAATTTGTTCGTAAGATAATTTAACACGACCACCGACCATGATGTAAAAAATTCAAATAAACTAAACGGGCCTTCAGGGACATTAAAATATAAATAAAATAACCAAATAATATGTAGTTTGATTACGATAGGAAATATGGTCAAGTGTAAGCAAAGTTTTAGGAAAATACGCAATTATATCTGTAGAAAGAATATTAACGAATCAGCAATTGTTTATGGAACATTACCAGGACAGTGAAACGTGAAGGCAGAGTGCTACTACACTTGATACATGAGGGATCGGAGAGGGAAGACATTTTGGTTTACAAATGTGATGTGTTGAAACAGTGAAGTAGCAGTATAGACGGAAAATGGGTTTAAATGGAAAATGGTAAACCTGGAAGTGGGCTGACTTGTTTGATGGAGCCAATGACGATAATCGACAAGGGAAGTGAACACTTTTAAGCCTTATAGTTTAACTTGAAGCTATGAGAAGGCCAAAAATGTTTGCGTATATTGAAATGTTCAATTTGTAGACATAAATGGCCATAAAAGTGAGGGGAAAATGAATGCGTGTTGATATGAATGAGTTTCTGAGCAATGTTATGTATGAAAGTGAATACTGTTTTTCAAGGGTAAACATATAAGAGTAGTATATAGGATTATTATTATTATTATTATTATTATTATTATTATTATTATTGTGGTCAATGTTCCCTTTCTCACTCCAAGGCTTGTTCCTCCCGCGTGTTGGCAGATCGTGGACGGCAACGCGAAGACGGACGTGTCCAACCGGCGCGAGGCGGGCGCGTTCTGCGGCGAGACGGAGCAGCCGCAGACCTTCATCTCGGAGACGAGCTTCGTCAAGGTGCTGTTCCACGCGGAGAACCTCACGGACCAAACGTACTTCAGCTTCGACTCGCGCGCCGAGCAGCAGTACGAGGTGTACCTGCGCTACGGCCAGCACCCGGAGCTCTACCCCAACCGGCGGGGGGAGGTGGTGCAGGGGTGAGTGGCGATTTCCTCTTATCTCTACGCTCCGGAAAAAAATGAAACGCAAAATCTAATACATAAAAACCAATGTTCGTTTCTTTGTTTGTCGTAGTTTTTGTTCGTATTTTATGCGCTACCGCTCATCCGAAACCTATTGCTTGTACTTGCGCGCAGAATATAGGAATAGTACAATGAGACTGTCCCGGTGTCTGTCGCACACAGACGCGATCTGGGTGCGTCATTGATGGTTTATGCAAACTCAAATGAACAGAAGCTATACGCAACCCGCCGCACGCTCAAGTAGTACACGCGTCTTCGCTGTCCATTCTGCCCCGGCATTGCGAAATATCGGCCGGAATCATTACTTAAACTTTATATTCGACACGTAAATCTACTTTCTCCAAAAAGTGTTGTATCGAATCCATCCCCAAACTTGAGGGTAAACGTTTCATCAATAGGATACTTGACAACAATGTCAAACCAGGACATAAAACAAACTAGCACTAGCGAGAAAGTGTTTCATCTTTTAAAATGTTTGCACAACGCAGCGTAAAACGTGATTGACAATCACGTGACCGTAGCGTACTGTATCGTGTGAAGTGTAATGCATTGCAATAGCAAAGCATTGCTCGGTACACTAGTAATTCATAAATATCTAATAAAAAATATATTTAACAAATATGTAAAATGGAATATGGCAATTATTTTTTTTAAATGTTACTAGATCGCACAATTTCATTATCGTTAAAAAATGCTGCAGTTTAGTGTGTTCACATGAACAAATGGCTCTGTGAGTGTCTCTATTGGTTCAGAGATCAACGTGAAATCAGTTGTCCGACTACCCCCGTGCGAAATGAATATGAAATGTTTCGTGCAGCGCTCATACTCCAAGACAGCTGTTCATGAGAGAAACGCCCGACAGTGCCACAGAGAATCGGCGGAAGCTCTCGGGAATAATGCCCTTCCATACCAGACAGTCGCGAGATGAGCAGGAAAGTTTCAGCGAGGACGCGTAGCAATCAGTGACCTGCAACGCACGTGTCGCGTCTGTGAGTTTGAGAACCGATATATGGCACGTGCGGTATTCGAGCATCTGCGTAATAGGGCCTGCAGGATGTGGTTTCACTTTTCTTTCGGACACATCCGAAATATTTTTAAATTAATATTTCGTTTCTACTATTAGGGAACCGAACAATTGAGTTTTTTTTAAATATGTTCTTTGGGCAGTGATAAATGGCAGCTGGCAAGAGGATGGTGAAAGATCGAAAAGCTAGCCCAGACCAAGGAAACTAGAAAAATAACTAGTGCGAGAAAGTCTGTGACATTCTGTAAGATCATTAGTTTAAATTATATGCTCTCTGCCATGCTGTCAACATGAAGGGAACTTTTTAACGAAACTTCTTAGAATCAGCATTTACGGAGATTTATCAGTCTTCAAAAGTTTTATGGAAAATTAAAACTTGTTCATTACTGCCCAATTTTAACCTTACTGCCCTTACAAATTTCAATTTTGATTTTATATGCCTATAAAAATGACACTAGTATTAAATAACACATTTCTTGTAATTAATATTATTTTGTTCGACTTCAATACAAAATTCCACGAGATATCGTCTGAAACTACTAAGATGTTTTTAATAGAAATATTTTGTGCCACGCTGATTATTGCCTGATTACAATTAAATATAAAGTAAAATCTCAGTACATGTGCTAAATATTTAGAAATATAAAAATGTTTATGCAATAAAAAGTGCATGAAAGTTATGGTGTACAGTGAAGAAAAGTGAACTATCACTTTAACACAATTCTTGAATTCTTCGATACCGCCTAACATTTACATACCACTGAATATTATACAAATGGTCAGAAAAAAGGGTATACTCGAACGTTTTCATTGCATTACAGTCAGTTCCAGATGTGGTTAAGTAAAAAGCTCACGTTGCCTAGTAACATGAACTTATATGTAATGGAGTAATAATTACGAGTATTAAGATTTTCTTACTCATTTATACGTAATCATTGCAATGTTAATGGAGTCATAAAACCAATAATTCTCAAGACCAGTTATTAAATCGTATTTGCACTTCTAATAACGCACAGAAAAAACGCTATGCAAACAAACTACAATATTTAGGAGACTGTAATACTATTAATTATAATCTGTGAGCATACGTGAAATCGGTATATTTTATCTATAAAAAACTGGATAAAATTCGGTTTGGTGCGTATGTATTCCTCATTTTAATGTTAAACACACATATTAATGAAATTCGGAACACTCAAAACCTAGTTCACAAATCAATAAAAATTGTGTGATAGATTAATATGCTTCTTCAGTTGTTCATCTACGAAAAATGTTCTAAAAATGAAGTTTAAAAAAAATATTACTTTCTACGTAGAATTGCACGAACACAGAATTTTCATACAAACTTCATACGATTAATTTAAAACTATTCCTTCATAAAATTATTCAATTTCACACGAAAAACTTCGTTTGATCTCCATAAAGACATTTTCCTTCCCTCGAGAGTGCAACGAAATGAAATATGAAACTGTGTATAAAAGTCTTATCTTGTGAAATGAATGTGAAAGAAGTGAAGATCATCTCAAGAATAGCAATGGTCCCATAACTTGATTCTCACAAATAAATTTATACCATTTACGAGCATTTGAAAATATATTACATTGCTCTTTCTATTATTTTGAGATACCTCAAATGAACGAATAAAAAAAATTAAGTATCGTTACTTGCAGAAATACTTTATAAAACAATCGTTTGCGTTACTGACCCTCTGAGATATAAATAGAAACGAAGAGGTATTATAGTTCTTAGTTATAGAAGATGCCTTTGGCTAAACATTTCAAGATAAATAATAGTTTATGCAAAATAGCATCAGATGTTTTCTAATTTATTTTATTCTTAATTACTACTAATTCAACACTAAATTAAAATCATTATGCTACGCATAGAGAATTCTATCAAATTCTGTCAGCCTTCATGCAGCTCGTTGCGTGTGTTTCGCAAATGTACGTTCCCGCCTGACATATGGTATACAATACTGGGGAAACTCATCGTGTAGTACTTTCTTTAGATTGCAAAAGAAAATTATTCGAATAATGAAAAAATGACATCCGCGTTACCACTGCAAGCCTCTCTTCTTTGAGTTTGGAATTTTACCATTGCCTTGCCTATATATTTACGAATCTTTAATATTTGTCAAAACTGAGCTTACTTAATGGTAGGAACATATTTTCATAGCAATACTGATATTTATTATTACAACACACGTCGTAAAAATACACAAACAGTACATGCCATTTACAACGCACTGCCAGATGACATTAAAGAATTAAAGTCGCGTTCACAATTTAAGTTTGAAAGTAAAATCTCTTCTGCTGCATAACTGTTTCTAACAATTAGAGACTAATACTGATTATCAAAAAGAAAAATAATGCAGATGTGTAATGCAGTGTAAGTACATTCGGACAGGGGGGAGTCGGACAGGCAGGCAGTCGAAGGCGGGAAGTCGGACAGGGTGGGAAGTTCGCGACTGGCGGGGGATTCGCGACAGGCGGGGAGTCGAGCGAGTCGAAGGCGGGGATACAGCAGTCGGACACGGGCGGCAGGGGGAGTCGGACAGGCGGGCAGTGACCGGGAGCGAGGCGGGCAGTCGGACAAGGCGGTCGGGCAGTCGAGACGCGGGCAGTCGGACAGCGGGCAGTTCGGCAGCGGGCGGGACAGGCGGGCAGTCAGGGGGCAGTCGCGGCAGTCGGACAGGCGGGCAGTCGGACAGGCGGACAGGCGGGCAGTCGGACAGGCGGGCAGTCGAACAGGCACTCTGTGAACTCTCTTCAATTCGGTATTGGATTCATCTTGATGAATCAGGAATTCTGTCAGTCTCTCTTTATACTTTACATCGTGAAATTAAATTTCTCCGAAATTGCTTTTTTTAATTAGTCAGTCAATCTAGCAACTTGAAACTTCACATTATACATTAAAATTATATTATCGCAAAATGCATATGTGGACCTCACTACTGCGCAATATCCATCAGTCGCCCTTGACTTCTGACGCCCAATTAATTCTTTATCCTTTCTTTCGCTACGAAGAAAACTAACCTTTCACTTCTTAAAGAAATCACCATATCCCTTTTCTGTTCACTGCCGAAATCATACTCATGAACACATGGTTCACTTCAGCACTGGCACCCAATTTCGAAAACCAATAATTTTCCAAATGCGGCATATGTTGGTGTCCCTACAAAATGTTCCGGTTTAACAGGACAGGCATCGGTAAAACAGGACGATTTCGTATTTCACTCTCTCTATATTTCGTATTTCACTCTCTCTATATTTCAGTTAAGGAAATTTGGAAACGTTTCCTTATATCGAGAGTTACAAATAATTTGTCAGTTTCTGACCAATCTCATATTTCTCTTTTGAATCAATAATCATTCTCTCTAGAATCAATAATGAATGACAGAAACTCATTGCAATTCTTGTGCATGGGTTCTTTAGCAAGGAAAATAATTCATCCCATGTTCCAGCATCTATAATACTAATTTCCAACTCACAGAAATTGAAAGAAAATTGTTTTCGGGTATGCGAGAGTACAAGGAACTCAGACCATGTGAGAGGTTCCATTAGATGCCCAGGAACAGGGGGAAAATACAAAAACTATAAAAGAGTTTCGATTTTTACAGAAAAATACATTTTTTAAATTAATTTATCACACCTATTCTCACACGACGCATCCAGATTCAATTCTCATATTCAGTGTCTTACGACAAAGCTATCATGTCATAAACTAGTGTCACTGCAGTGTCTCGACCAGGATGTCCAAGATTCGTTGTGAAAGAAACTTTTTTATATTTTTGGCATGTAAATAACTATTTTAGTGTGTATCCGTATATACTATGGTATTGCGTCATTCATGAAGATGGCCAATGGTGGCGGGATTTTCGATACTAGTTAGGGAGGTAAGTTCAGAAGCTGTCTCGAGAA